ATGTACCTTAAGTTAATAAGTAATCCAAGCAACTTAAGCAACTTAAACAACTTAAGTAACTTAAAAACCTTAAGTAACTTAACCAACTTAAGTAACTTAAACAACTTATGTAACTTATGTAACTTAAATAATTTAAGTAACTTATAAGTAACTTAATATGTACTTAGTTAATAAGTAACTTTTGTTTAAAATATTTAGAAAAATCACCTTTTTCAACATACTTGAGCGTCAAAAATAAAGTAGGATACTTTAAGCGTTTATACATATGTATGTATGTATACAATTTCTGTCGTATATAATACACCAGGTGGTAGAAATGCCTTATACATGAATTTATGCACATGTCAGTCATATATGCATTTTCTATATTTCCAACATGTGCGCTCAAATTAACATGTTGAAGCGTTTCTGTCTCCGCGAGTACATCGTAGATTTACATAAATAGACTAAACGTTTCCGTGTTGAAAGCTTAAAGCAACATCAGTAACAGAGGATAATAGAGAGTAAGATGTTTTTTGTCCAATTTTGCAGTCACTCGGAAAAAAGGAAAGACGAGAAGCGGGGTCGCCTCTTACTCTCACTCTCACTCTTCTTGCTTCCCTTATTGTATCTCATTTCCCCCTCCCAGAACATTATATGACGGAGAAAACCATCTTACTTCTATTTTGCAATCTTATTGTCAGCTGTTGCAGAAGAATGTTTATTAGTTTATTATATAAGTCTAAAATTCGCGTGTACGAATTTTTTTATGGCCTGCAACGCTTGACGAATTCATTGAGTGGTTAAAAATTAAAAAAAAAAAAGCGAAACATCGTTATTAATAACAGCAAGAGGCAGCAGAAAGATTTTATAAAAATCTATTAAACTAAGAACAATATTTTTCTTTTGTATAAATAATTAAATTTTTATTAAATAATTAATTAATTTTTTATTGCATATTATTTAATTTTTATTAAATTTTTATAAATATAATTTTTATTAAAATAATTATTTTTTTTATCAAGTATTATATTTATAACTAAATACATTTACATAATAATTTACATAATCTTGCAAATTTATTAGCTGTCTTGTATAACTATCTTGTATGCAGAGAAACCGCACAATTACCTATATTATTTGCATGTTACTGATATTTATTGATCCGTAAATGTTTCTTTTACCACATAAAGAAATATGAAAATGTTCGTATTTTTCTCAATAATTTTATTCAGTGACGGTTAAGAATTTGGTCAAAAGCCATTAAAAAGTTTATCTTGAAAAAATATTAATAGATTATTATTGTTCTTATTCGTTAAAATGAAATGAGACGATTTAGATAGTTTGATAAGAAAAACTAATGGTTGATTAATAATATGATTAATTGTATAGAGATCGAAACTCTCTATCATACTTTGTTTAAGTACTGGCAGTGGATGAATTAAAAAATGGTAAGAGAGATATATGACGTGATTATGTGAAAAATCTCTGAAAGGTCAAGTAGAAAGCGGAAGTAGCAAATCCCGTAAAGGAAAGTGACGCTTGTGAATGCCACGGCAAATAATTCACCTCATCTCTCTTGAGTGAAACAATACTCGCTTCTTTTAGAGAAAAAAAGATGAGCTCTTTTCTCTCTTTTTTCTCGCGCTCCGACCTTTGATCTGTTCTTTAGAAAGATCAGATTAATCAAGATTAAAATCACTATCATTATCTATTTGTTTTATTGTTTGTCTGTCCGTCTTCTCTGATTTACGTCTTAATAAAGTCTTCCAGATTCTTTTTAACACTTTACAAATATATCGAAATTATAAATACATCAAACATGATGACTGATTTTCATTTTTGTGAATTATTGAATGTATCTTTATATATAATATTTCGCTCAAAGAGATGATCTAAAAAATTTAATTTCTAATTTATGAAGTATTTTTTGTATAATTTATTTATGCAATTACCGTGTTTTCATTTTTATTTGTCATTTTATTTCTTTTTTCAGTGTGTTTTTATTTGTATATATATATATGCGTCTGTATGTATCTTAATTAATTTATTATTATTGCAGTTGATTTTCATTATATGTAATTTTTGCTGAAAAGTAGTAATAATACTGCATATCTTATATTGACACGTGTATATATATACTTACAATTTTATATGTATGTCGCATCCTACTTTAAAATCACATGCCCTACATAACGCGTTAATATCGCTTAATGGCTTAATGTATCCGAAAGTGACCAAAAAAAGTTGATTATCGAAATCAGGCATTATAAGTTGTGAATTACGATTACTCAGTTTCCTGTTCCAGATATTTATGATCAACAAGTAATGATGTTCTAAATATATAAAGCTTAGTTTGCGATATTTTATATAACATTTATTGTTGTTTTATTTAATTATCTAATAATAACAATTAATTATTAATTACTTATTTAATATATTAGTTTATGTATTTTTATTATTAAATATTATTTTACTTTAAATTTATGTTAATTTAATCGTTCTCAGCAAGTAAAATTTTTTAAATTTTTACTAGAAAATTTTCAAAATGTTTTTATCAAGAAGAAAAATTTCATATTAAATACAGTTATATAGATATTTTTTTTTATGTATATTGATAATATGAACATTGAGCCACTATCTTAAAAATAGCCTGTATTTTTGTCTATATATTATTTATGATATGTTTTATAAATATTTGTTGATTTTAATTAAAATCTTCCAAAAAAATTCTGCCTTTTTCTTGAATTCTTAATTTCTAATTATATTTACATATTCGTCGCGCTTTTTCTTACACGAGAAAACATAGCGTATTCGCATATATTGCCGATTCACTGCAACCATTCGTGAAAAGAATCCATTCTCATGAGAGTCGTAACAATTGTGTGAACTCTCTGTTTGTGAAAAATTTAACAGAGACAAAAAAAGTGCTTGATCTGATTTCTATTAAATGCTGGCAAGGTATGCGACAGGATGACGGATGCAGCGCGAGAAAGTTAGCGAAACTTAGCAGCGTCGCGAGAAAATTTGGGAAAGAAGATCCAAGAAAATATGTACTATATATTCCGTGGATTTCAGCCGTGTAAAAAAGATGTAATATATTACATAAAAATATGTAAAATTGCATAAATAATCAAATGTAAAATTACATCGAAAATAATGAACATGTATACATTTTTATTATTTATGATCGTATCTAATTTTACACTTATTTATGTAAATTTACATATTTTTTTACAGTGTATTTTCATTTTATGTATCCGAGCTAAATCCTTTGTCTGCGTCATTTATAAATTGATAATAAATATTATATATATTCAATGCAAATCAAATATTGAACTACGTAAAATACAGAAAAAAATTATAAAATTTTTAAATATTTTTATTTTCTTGTAAATGAATTTAATTGACGATGATTATATATATATACTTTTATTCTGTTTCTGCAGAAAGAGAAGAATGTAAAATTTTTTTCGAAGAAATTAAAATTTCTGTATATTATTCTGTGTATTATTAAATATTATATCATTTTTTTTTTTTTGCAATATTTTAAATTTATGTAATTTGTCATTAAATTTCATGTATGAAAAAGTAGGAAAGATTTTATTTTATATAATATATATTTACACAATAATTTTTTTCCTTTGGATACTAAGAAATATAAAAGATATTCTTTTCATAAGATATATTAAATAATATATAATAATAATATTAAAAAAATATATTAAATAAGTTAAATTTATTTCTGAAATACAATATTTTTAAATGTGCATAATTACATATAATAATGATCAAAGGTTACAATTATTATGTCATACAAAATTTATTTTCAGCAAATTATGCGCGGCCATATATTTTTGTATTAAATTTAATTAAAATATATCTTAAATGCATCTTTTTAAAATTTCTTGTAAAAATATTGCAACAATTTTATTTATTTTGTATTATACGATCAACTCAATTTTCTGTTTTTATAATACCGTTTAAATTGCAAAAAATACGAAGTTATGAAATTATTCTAAGTTTAAATTAATAATATTTTTTAAGAAAAAATTTATTAACTTTATATTTTACTAATTAAATCGAAGTATCGACAACTAAAAGAACATGCTTTCTTTTTCAATAGGCGAAAGTTACATCTAATTAAATAAAATCTAATGCAATAATTAAATGAGCACATTACTTCCTTAACGCATTACCTAGTATTTTGCATAAGTATATATGTATGTGTATACATCACGTACATATGTATATTACATGAACATACTGATTATAATCCGTTACAAGCCATAGACCATAAAATTGAAAAGTAAATTAAGAAGCTTAACGAACATTAAAGAGAAAATAATTGCAGATCTTCTGAAAATAAATTTTACATGTACTTTAAACAGAAAAAAACTAATATTTTTCATACAAAATTTCAAATATATATATGTATATATACATTTAAAATGTGACAATTTTTATATACATATTTTTAAAACGTAACTATAAATTTAAATAATTAAATAAAAGATGCTAATAAGTCTATGCGTGCATTTAAAAATTAATACATAGAAAAGTATTTCATATTTTATCTCATCCAAAAAATAGTTACATAAAAATGTATTATTTTGATGTATATATGTTATAGCTTAATTAATAAATTTATAGTTTTTTATAAAAATAATAATGCATAATACAATTATGTATTTCACTAAGACATTTGTGTATACATGTTTTGACATAATTATGATATATATATATATATATATATATATATATATATATATATATATATATATATTATGCATTATATATTTTTTTTATATTATATAATTAATATATTAATTATGTATATAATTATATATAATTAATATGCATGTGCAAAAAAAGTTGCAATAATTTTTAAAATAATAAATCTAGATTTCATGAAACAATTGATAAAATGTATTTATTATTGCGCATGTTTCTCGCAATAGCATATAATTATACGCAACTGATTTTTATTCGCTAATTAATAAAATATTATTTTATTTCAGGAGTCCAGAGGAGAGATCATCCAGCATGGTTCTTACTGTGACGGAGGACACTCCGGCGGATATGTTGGCCGGAAGTATGGAGCTTCTGGTCCAACTGCCTCGTGATCTTCATACACAGAGGCTTACAGTGTTAAGAAGGTATATTTACAAAGATTAGATTATATTTACAAGAATTAGAGAATTAAATACAACGACATTCTTATTAACAACAAAAGTCAAGAACAAAATCTACTTTTAACACTTATATCCTTTTTATTAATTTTATTGATATATTTTTATTGTTATAAGAATTACATATGTAAACAACAAATTAATAATATTAATTAATAACATTAATTGTTATTAATGAAAATTATTTATTATTGAGTTATTAATTAAATATATATTGTTATTACATAGATGAAAAAATATATTGCCAAATTGATATAGATGAGTAATACGTAATAATTATTTCAATTTCTTTTGTATCGACTTTCGTATGTATTAGAAAAAAATTATAAAATTAATTTCTTAAAAAAAATGTATACACTTTCAAGTTGGAATTAATCTATAAAAAATTTTAAAAAATACAGACAATTAATACTTAGTAAATTATAATTCAATTATGAGATAAATAAATAGATAGATCGATAAATAGATAAGTATATATAGATAGATAGAAAGTAGATAGAAAAAAAGAAGAAAAGAAGAAAAAAAAGAAAAAGAAAGTGAGAAGAAAAAAAAGATACGAAGAGAAAAAAGAGAGGTAGGAGAGAGAAAAATAAAAAGATGAAGAACAATAAAGCCTGAGCTGATGTTATTATAAAATATGTCTGAATAAAAATCGTTCTTGACTATATTTTTGTGATTATATCTTCTTGTTCATATTACGTAAGCGCAATAATTAAGGAAAACTAAAGTATTAAGAATCGTGAGATATCGAAATTAGGTTGTGTACTAAGTATGTAATCAGATGACTGCTTATCTTGTTATGACGTCATTCTATTATCGCGATCTCATCGCTATTTCTTTCGAGAAACTATAGTTTATCAACTTAAAATTAAGTTACAATAATTTCAAATTTATATTGCGTCAAACAGACTGTTTAGAATATTTCGTTGACAATTTTCGACTGCTTAGAACCTAAGAAGTTTTTTAATTCATTTATAATTGCATTTCTTTTTAAAAATAAGAAATGTGTAAGGAATTATTTTATATAGCGTAAACATTTTTTAATACAAATTGAAAATCTCTAGCAGAGATTCATCCATATATTATATAATTAAAAACTTAATGCATACATTAACTCTTTTTTAATTAAGCTTAATAAATTTATTTGTCTAATAATGTTTATTAAAAAAATTAAAAAATTGAAAACTAAACCGATAAAAATATAACTAAAATAAAACGATAAAAAATATAATATAAAAATTGTGAATTGATGGAAATTTTTTAAACTTTTTGAAAAGACATTTATGAGAAATGAATGTTATGTCAATATACGTTTTTGAATAAAAAAGTTAATATAATTGTTTACAGTACACCGATGATGGATCTTCTGGTGCAGATCGCGACGGCTCATAAATTATCAGCTTCAAATTACACATTACAAGCGATCGGTGAACACGGATTAGTTCTATCTCATCATCCAAACACTCCTATAGGAGTATTAGACGTTCTTCAGGTAATTTAAATTAGAGAAATTTTATATAAGTATATAATTAAATAGATTAAAAATCTTTTATATAATTTTATATAAAAATAATGCATTTCTCTGATTACAAACTTACATAATATTTGTTTGGAGTTCATAGAAATTTAGGGACAATTATGTTATATTAAACGAAGTTCAATTTAATTTTTTAAAATATTTTTCGCCTTTCTCTATTTGTTTATTTTATTTATATTTTATTTTATTTTATTTATATTATATATATAATTCTTTATTTATATATTTTTATAATATTTAGTTTATTTTGTTTATATTTTATTTATATTACTACATGCGACTAAAAATTTTTTTAAATAATCTTGCATATTGTCATTTTTTTGCAATGTTGCACATGTGCAATCACGGAGATTAATTATTAAAATTGCGTCCTTGAGACCTCAGCAATAATCTTAGAGAAACAGAGAGAGAGAGAGAGAAAGAGTGTAATAAAAAGTGATTGATTAAAATTCTAATTGCAATCAGTTGTGCGTACTTAATTTCGTCGTGGTTTTTTCTTCACTCGATCGAGTCGATAATTGCATATGACTGACTGTCAGTTGTGGATCACAAATAGAAGTCATCACTTGTTGATTTTCTATCCGGGCGGCAACCGGTGTCATTAATGAGCCCAACAATTTTCCAGCATATATCGCATGAATTTCTATGCGAGAATTTCTACGCACTTTCTAACGACAATTCTTTGATGCTCGCTCATTGCTTTGCGTGTTAGATTAACCCTTTCGCACATGAATTCCCAGTACCAATCGTTATACTTTCTCTCCTGGGACGCAAGAGTTTTAATAGAATTCCTTCCACGGAAATCCTATTTATTCGCTTTTATTTTAGCTTGTCCAATGTTTAGTAATGCTTTGAAGATATATGTTTGTACAAAAGTATAACATAAATAATATTACCGAAATATTTTTTTAGAAATAATATTTAATATATATAAATTATATATTGAGCTTATTATTTTTTTCCACACATGCAGAAAAAATATGTGGAAAATAAATATATAATTTATATATAATATAATTTATATATAATTTTTTATAGCCAAAATATATAGTCAATAAAATTTGCGATTTAATAAATGATTAAAAAAAATGTCTATTTTATATATATTTCAGGTTAAATTACTTCCCAAACAGAGCACGTGTGTGCCACGTAAAACAAAGCAAGCTAATCAACCTTTTGAACCGACATTTAGATTGCAGGTAAAATACAACATAAACATATAACTTTTCAATTATTATGCACATACATTTTTTGTCATCTTTACATATTTTTGTATTATTTTATTTTGTTAAATTACGCATAATATTTAATTTCATATTAATTTTAATATTAATTTTATTAATATTAAATAAAACTTATTTTATCGTTTTTATTTTTAAATATTTTATATAATTCAAAATTTATAAGAAATTAAAATTAAAAAAAATATTTATGACAAAGGTATATTTGAGAAAATATGTATGTGTATTTGTATGTAATTTGTGTATCTCATTTGTATATACAAGCAATTTTAAAATTTGATTACTGAAATCAATTGAAAGTCAAAATAATATTCTTTTACAAGACATTTTAGATGATCTTTTATAAAATATTATTTTTTTATGTCATTTTTGAATAAAAATTTCTAATTATTTATCTTAAAAGTTAAAATTTAATGAAAAACGAAAGCACAATATTATTTTCAAGTAGATTATATTAATATAGAAGCATTTTGATTTGTACTTTCTCGATGTACCGGCAAATGTTGAAAGCGAATGAAGCACGGTTTTGTATCCTCTGACTTCTATATAAAGATCTCATTTAAAACCAGTTGCAAACGTAGAATATAACGCAACACGAATATAATAAATCAGTAATGCAATGCACGATAACTTGATAATCGCCGCAGGTGCATCTGCCGAGAAATCAACTCTATGTGTCGAGGGTCAGTCCGAAGATGAACCTTGGAGAAATTCTAGATGAAGTGTGTCGCGAAAAGAATCTGGACAAAAATAATTACGAACTTCGTCATCCAGGTGAGTCTCTGCATATTTTAATCATATAAGTTTAGTAAAAATGTATGAATAAATTTTGAGAAAGTAAAAAAGCAAAAAGTATTTTTCTCATGTATATTTATATATTTTTTTATATATTTTTATATATATTTTATATATTTTTTTTATATATTTTTATATGTTTATATATTTTTGTATATGTATAATTTGTAAAACAGTGAACAATTTTTATATTAAATTAAATATTTATATTTATATATATAATTATGTAATTTATAATTACATATTTAAGTATTTAAAATTTTCGAGCCATTAAGAATGTTAAAGCATAATAATAATGCGTAAATTTTAAAGATATTTTTAAATGAATTTTTAACTTAATTTTTTAAATTTAATTTAATTTTTAATTTGATTTAATTTTTAAATATATTTTTTTCTTGAGAATAAATGATTGTATACGAAGCTCGAATTTTGCTTGGCGATATCAAGTGCTTAAATAATATTGATTTTAATTATCAAAATCTTCAAGACCTCAATTAATAATTCTGGCTATTAAAAGATTTAATTTCGTTCGTTATATATTTAAATGCTGATCAGTAGGTTTCGGTACGGCTTCGGAAGCCAAATGATTCATGTGCATGTATATGTATAAGACAGATATATCATCCAATCCAATTTTCTCGAAATGCTTTTCGCATTATATGCGGAGATGAAAGTCTTCATTCGATTTCTTCTATCAATTCTTCAGCAATTCTCGCTTATACTTATTTTCAAAAACTCTACTTAAGTTTCATCATAGGAAATACTTATTTCTCGCAATCAAAATAATAATGCTAAATATATGCAATGTAGCTGCACGCAACGATTTTAAAATTCAGGAGCTTTTATACATTTTATAAAAATAACGATATTTCTAAGTAGTTTAGAAGAGCAATTAAAAAATAATATATTACTTTATTCAATAGAGATTTTCTGTATTTTTAAAATTATATTAAGTATATCTTTTTCGGCCAATCAATTTTTTTTAAGAAAAAAAATTAAAGAAAATGTGTTGACAAATATAATAAAATTAAATTAATAAATATTTGTCTAATAATTTAATAATTGTATATTAGAGAATTTAATTTCATGCCAATTGATAAAGTTATTTCTACCGCTACTGATCTTCACTTTGACTTAAAATTTAAGAACTTTTATACATTTTATAATTTTTTAAAAATAAAAATATTTTATGTAGTTTTGGAGAGTAATTAAAACGTGATATATTATTATATTTTCTAAATTTTTTGATCATATTAAGTGTACATACATAAAATATATTCTTAAATGGTCTCTAAATTTTTTGTGGAAGAGACATTTAAAACAATAATGTGTAGAGACAAATTATTAATATTAAATTAATAAATATTTATTGTATATTAATTTAATAATTATGCATATCTCAGAAAACTTAATTTTATATATCAATTTAAAGCTATTTTTATTACTACTGATCTTCACTTTTGACTAAAAAATTAGTTTTTATAAAAATAGTTTAAATAGTTTTGAGGAGTAATTCAAAAATAATACATTATTATAAATTAAAAAGAAATTTTTATTCATATTCAAGTATTCTATTTTTCGTGAAAAAATAATTTTAAAATAATTTCAAGTAATTTTTAAATAATTAAAAAAAATATGCAGACAAATGAATAAATATTCAAAGGCTCTCGATTTACAAAGCTGTTCGCTACTGATATCCATTTTTGAGGAGACACCGCCTACATTCTGAATCCTGAATCGCACAAGCGTGCACGAGATATTTCAGTTAGCTAGTTACAGGTTGGCTGCCAAGATTACTATCGCAATGTTGCCAGGAGGCTCCTGCAACACTTGTTATTCCTAGCCGTTAGGCTCTGCTTTTCCTCCTCTCATTCTCGCATCTCTCCGTCTCGCGGTGGAAGAGGACGAACGTAAACGCCGGCTTACCCGGTCTCATGCTCTCGCTGGCGTACGTTTTATAATTGATCCAAGCTGCGCGAGGGGAGCGAAGAATGCAATTCCAGTTTCCCGCTCGCATACCTCCAGGTGCATTCACGCTCCCGGTCGGGGAGAGCCTGCGAGCTCCTGCGAGAGCACAAACGAGGAATACGCTCGTAGTCTTGCGCTTAGATGGTTTTCAAATCAGCTAGATAAGGATGACATTTTTTGTAACTGTGTGTATATAAATAAGCGCTCTTATCTGGAAGTTCTTCTATCTAGATGACTCGCCATATATAGTTTTATATCTTTTACATTCAGAAGAAAATCATCTGTAGCTCATCTGAAAATAAGATGAATTTACATGATTTAATTATATATAATTATATATGAGCATCTAGATGAAATTTTGGCGCCATCTTATCTTTATATAAATAATAAATGCTTAGATGATTTTGAAATCAGCTAGATAAGGATGACATTTTTTGTAACTGTGTTTACATAAATAAGCGCTCTTATCTGGAAGTTCTTCTATCTAGATGACTCGCCATATATAGTTTTATATCTTTTACATTCAGAAGAAAATCATCTGCAGCTCATCTGAAAATAAGATGAATTCATATGATTTAATTATATATAATTATATATGAGCATCTAGATGAAATTTGGCGTCAGCTTATCTTTATATAAATAATAAATGCTTAGATGATTTTGAAATCAGCTAGATAAGGATGACATTTTTTGTAACTGTGTTTACATAAATAAGCGCTCTTATCTGGAAGTTCTTCTATCTAGATGACTCGCCATATATAGTTTTATATCTTTTACATTCAGAACAAAATTATCTGCAGCTCATCTGAAAATAAGATGAATTTACATGATTTAATTATATATAATTATATATGAGCATCTAGATGAAATTTTGGCGCCATCTTATCTTTATATAAATAATAAATGCTTAGATGATTTTGAAATCAGCTAGATAAGGATGACATTTTTTGTAACTGTGTTTACATAAATAAGCGCTCTTATCTGGAAGTTCTTCTATCTAGATGACTCGTCATATATAGTTTTATATCTTTTACATTCAGAACAAAATCATCTGCAGCTCATCTGAAAATAAGATGAATTTACATGATTTAATTATATATAATTATATATGAGCATCTAGATGAAATTTGGCGTCATCTTATCTTTATATAAATAATAAAAATATGTATGAAGAAAAGTGTTATCTTTACTAAATTATCTAGAATAATGTTTAGATAATTTGGTATAATATAATTATAATCAATAATATAATCTACTGAAAATTAAGTTAATATAAATTGAAATGGCTCTGATATAAATGCAAAATTAGGTATGAAAAGAGCTGATAATTTTTGCTCTGAGATTTACCAAAAAAATATCTCATTTTTTAAAAGTATTTTTTAAGTAGTTACTTATCTGCGACTTTGTAATTTTCTTTTTAGATACGAAAATATGACAAATGAATTGTTCAATTGTGAATTATCTATTTTATCTATTTATTTTGAATTGCAAAAATGCGAAAATTTTTACATAAATTTTTTCAGTATAAAATTTAATGAATTCTAGATAATTTTTAATAATTAAATGTACAGTCAAAGTATATTTTTAATAATATTAATTTTTTTTAACAAATAATTTTTTGTATTTAATGCTTTCTAAAAATATGTATAATGCATGAATGTTATATAATGATATACATAATTTATACAAAGATGTTATATGTATATATATAATTTTACATATATGGTAAAATTTTTATTTATTTTATATGTATTTTATTTTATAAATATTTAATATTTAATATTTTATATATATTGAATTAGTATAAAAGTTTCTGGATGAGATGTCGTGATGTTCTCTTTTGTTGACATAACTTCCTCGTTCGTTTCTCATTTTATGGACACTTATACTTAACCGTTACTTGGATGTTGTTGGTGATCTTTTTGGATAGTTCGATTTCCAGTTTCTTCAGTTCTTTCATAAGGTGTAGTTTACGCTCAATGTGAGAGCGATGTCCTGTTTATCCTACAACTCTCGCGCACGATCGGATCTTCTTTTCGATTAACTTTTTCTTAACTCGAGTTAGGTATCATCAGAGAACGTGATTGATTTCATTTTCGATTATTCTATCGGGACTTCTCCAAGTCCATTTTCTCTTCCGGGGTTTTTCATGCAGAAGATTATATTCTTCCTCATGCATAAAATTATTTTTATACGCAATACAAAATTATTGCGACGTCAATATTATTACGCAAAAAAAGAAACAGAATTGAAAATTATTTTATTTATTTATAATTCGATTATTATATATTATATATTAAATTATTATATTTAATTCAACTATAAATAATTTGAACTACATGAAATTTAATAAATTATTAGATACATCATCAAGCATATAAATTCTAATCAGCATTTGGTCTGAAATGTGCATTCAGAATTTTAATAGTGTTTATTTTCTTTATTCCAGCCAACCTGGAGGAGACGTTGGATTTATCGCTATCGCTGCAGGACTATCATCTTCAGGAAGTGACTCTTTACGCGAAACAGGGCAAGAGTCTGGGTCCGACGTTAAGTACCCAGGACATAATGGCCCTGCAGAGGCAGGAGGAGCGACGCCGACAGCAGACCAAGCAAAGCGTGTTCGGCTTCATGTTCAAGAAGTCCAAGGAGAGCTCGCTCAGCACGGATAGTCTCGGGGCTCGCAGCGTTTCGCCAGCCAGAAGTGACGAGACAGCGAGAAGCGCCAGTCCTCTTCAGCCGCCAGTTCGACCGCAGAGGAAGAGGAGACCGGCCCCGAAACCACCGACGTTGGCCGCGCCTGATGCTCAAGATGCAGCCGGGGACAGCGGCAAGGACAAAACCATGATCAATCACAGTCGCAACAGCAGCGACAGCTCCGGTTACCACGAGGCCTCGGTGCTCAGCGATCATCCGGAGTCGGCCGCGAGGCTACCGGAGACCCTGCCGAGGCGGAGCAAGGCCCCGGGTATGTCCAACGCGTCCAGAAAACTCGCGCAAACCTCGCAGTCCAGCAAAAGTCTCAGCAATCTAGTGACCACCGGCGGAACCCTCAGTCGAGGGATCAGCAACACCTCTCTCAGCTCCACCGGTGAGATTTGGTCACGTATAAGCTGAAGAAAATAGTTAATTAACATAAAACTTGTGGGCATATATGCAGGATGCCCCATTTTAATCGATCACCCCTGTACAATTTTTTTTTTAATTTTTGACTGGACAATAAAATGCTTCATAAACAAAAGTTGTTTATTTAAATCGGGACAGATGACGATTATGTAAATTTATATAAAAAAATATAGTGGTTTTATTTAAAAAAAAACATACATGATCTTGAAATGACCTTGAATGACCTTTAAATGATCTTCAAATGACCTTGAAAGGCATTCTTTAGAAAAAATCAGTAGTACCATCTCCTGTTCTCGTTCAAACAACTTTTATTTGAAATATTGATTCAAATGGGGCATCTTGTGTATGTGAGAAGTTGTTTTGCAGACAAGATTTTGATCAATGCGATAACTTTGCTTGTAGGTTTTCGAAAGAAGAGGACTGCACCTTCCCCGCCGACAACCAGACCAGTTTCATTGGCGATTTCCACACAGGCGTTAGAACGCATCGTCGATTCCGAGGCGTCGTCGACGTCCGGCGCGAATCCCTCGAAACCGTCGTCGGACATTGGCGCACCGACGAAGATCAGTTCCGAGATCGAGTTTCTTCAAGCGAATTCCGACATCGGCGTAGGATCATCGCAGTCGATGCTCGAGCTGAATCGCAAATCGAAGTCGGAAGTCGCGACGTACAAGTTCGACGGCGGCATTCAGCAGAATCGTGTTGCTAAAACGAATGTCGAGGCACGTGCCGAAACCGATTCGCTCGACTATAAGCTTGCTAAAGCGGATGTGGACGCGAGCGCTCCTGTAGAAGTTGCCCCAAAAGTAGAGCAAGCTAGAGTAGCGACGAAAAGAGGTAAGTTGGCCTGCTTGATTGCTTTGTTTCTTAATTTCGAAGCGCGAGGTCCTTCGAAAAACTCACATCGGAGCGAAGATACAGGCTTGAATGATGAAATGTCACGTGCTACATTGGGCCTAAAAAGTATAGATTCTCGATATTGAAGAGGGACATTACATTGTAAAATCAAAGATCATATCTAATAAATTAATATAAATTGTCGCTCGTGTATTGAAAACAAAGTGATAAATATAAGGCCAACTTATCGAGCTGAATATTCGAGATGTTCAGTCAACTACCATTTATTACATGTATAAATTATAAAACTACAGTCATTATATTATATTAAAACTAACGCAAATTAACGCAAATTACAATCATTCTATAAACGTTTCGACCGCACGCGGTCTTCTTCAGTATAATTATTGAAAAATAGTTTTATTTTCGTTATGTGGATGACATAATAGTGGCCACCTCTATGACTAATATGACTCAGATTGTGAATAATTTTAACAACTATCATGAAAGACTTAAATTCACGGTCGAACAAGAGGTTAATCATAGCTTGAATTTCTTAGATTTATCACTTAAAATTATTAATAACAAAATATATATAGACTGGTATCAAAAAGAAACCTTCTCAGGAAGGACGTTATCATTTTATTCAAACCACCCATTATGCCACAAAATTGGAATAATATATAACCTTGTAGACAGATGTCTATTGCTATCACATCCACTATTTTTTAATAAAAATTTGGAGTTAATTATTAATATACTCAGAAGCAATGGTTACCCTCTTGATCTGATTTTTAACAAAATTAATCATCGGATAGAACACATCATATCTAAGGGGAGCATTTTAGAGAGACAGGCCAACATAGAAAGAACAAAAAGTATAAGAAATGACTCGGTTAATAAAAAATTCTTTGTCATTCCGTATATAGATAGGGTCTCAGAAATGATTGTTTCCTCGGTGAAAAATAAAAATTGTATGGTAGGGTATAGATGTCTCAACAAACTGGATAATATTATTAAAGCACAGAAAGATAAAACTAAACATCCATGCAATTCGAATGTGGTTTATAAGATCAGTTGCAATAATTGTAATGCATCTTATGTAGGCCAAACAAAGAGGCAATTGCAGACGCGAATAAAAGAACATAAAAATAATATTAGGTTGGACTCAACGAAACATTCAGTAATTTCTGAACACATAATAAATGAACATCATACTTTTAATTGGGACAATGTTAAGATCATGGACAACGAAAATAATTATTATAAAAGACTCATTTCTGAGATGCTACATATCAAGGAACAAAAAAATGGACTAAATTTAAACAAAGATACTGAGTTACTTAGCGAGTCGTATTTTGATATTTTGGATATATTAGCGAACAATAAATAATAATAGGACAAATAGGACATTAACGAGTAAAACATAGATATTAGATCATATATAAACACGCACGCTCTCCGATCAAGTAGAGTTTAAAATGAGCTGTCTTTCTGTATTGTTGTTTGTTAAGTGTCATCCTTAATAACTGTTAATAAGTAGCAAAATTGTCAAGAAGAACGATGATAGGTAAGCATACTACCAATTGTAGGGGATATATATTATAATTTGGACATACGTTGATCGGTAATTTCTTATTAATCGCAGCGCCTACGGTACGGGTTAATTTCTCGCATATTAACGATGAAATCATCCGAGATCTGAACAAAATCAGAGATCATATCGAGGCGAACATTGTTGGACAGGACGGATTGAAACACGCGTTAATTGCTCAAAAACTCTCGATTCTGAATAACTATAATTAAATTTCGATATCATGTGAATTGTAAGAATTTATTTTTCAATAATTATACTGAAGAAGACCGCGTGCGGTCGAAACGTTTATAGAATGATTGTAATTTGCGTTAATTTGCGTTAGTTTTAATATAATATAATGACTGTAGTTTTATAATTTATACATGTAATAAATGGTAGTTGACTGAACATCTCGAATATTCAGCTCGATAAGTTGGCCTTATATTTATCACTTTGTTATCATATCTAATGATCATATTCATGTGTTATACAAAGTTTAAAATTTCTAAAAAAGGTAGAACATCTTGTAACGCGGAAAGCAACTTGTCTTCTCGGACTTTGTAGATATTTGCGATCTCCACGAAGTTATTAGACATCTAAATGGCGTTTACAAATTTCATATTCAGTGACATTGAGGGCCTATATATCCTCGCTATCTATTATAAATCATACCAAGAACAGATTAGAGGAGAGAAACTTAAGCCTTTTGCAACCAGCACCTTTTTATTTGGTTGGCCGTCAAATAAGTCGAGAATCAAATAAAAACTGGATTTATTTCTTGATCCAGTTGAATTTGGTTTTCGAGATTAAAGTTGACGAACTTAATAAATATAATGTATTAATTAGAAATAAATTTTTTAGATTTTTTTAGACATTATCTTGCTTTAACAATTTTTTGACAATTAATCTTTAAATTAAAGGATTATATTAAAAAATTAAAATATAAAATTTTCAAAAATTAATTATATTTAATAAATATTATTTTTTCGTCACTTTAATCATGCTATATATATGTATATTATTTATTTGCACTTTCTCAATAAGCAATTTTTTATTTATTTCAATTTTATTTAAAATTTTATATTTATATATGCATCAAAAAATTTGGAATTACAGATTAAATTATAAATTAATGAATTTCCAATTTAAAATAGTTATAAATTAATACAATTGTCGCTCGTATATTGAAAACAAAGTGATAAATATAAGGCCAACTTATCGAGCTGAATATTCGAGATGTTCAGTCAACTACCATTTATTACATGTATAAATTATAAAACTACAGTCATTATATTAAAACTAACGCAAATTACAATCATTCTATAAACGTTTCGACCGCACGCGGTCTTCTTCAGTATAATTATTGAAATATAAATTCTTACAATTCACATAATATCGAAATTTAATTATAGTTATTCAGAATCAAGAGTTTTTGAGTAATTAACGCGTGTTTCAATCCGTCCTGTCCAACAATGTTCGCCTCGATATGATCCCTGATTTTGTTCAGATCTCGGATAGTTTCATCGTTAATATGCGAGAAATTAACCCGTTCCGTAGGCGCTGCGATTTATAAAAAATTACCGATCAACGCATGTCCAAATTATAATATGTATCCCCTACAATTGGTAGTATGCTTACCTATCATCGTTCTTCTTGATAATTTTGCTACTTATTAACAGTTATTAAGGATGACACATAACAAACCAACAATACAGAAAGACAGCTCATTTTAAACTCTACTTGATCGGAGAGCGTGCGTGTTTATATATGATCTAATATCTATGTTTTACTCGTTAATGTCCTATTTGTCCTATTATTATTTCTTGTTCGCTAATATATCCAAAATATCAAAATACGACTCGCTAAGTAACTCAGTATCTTTGTTTAAATTTAGTCCATTTTTTTGTTCCTTGATATGTAGCATCTCAGAAATGAGTCTTTTATAATAATTATTTTCGTTGTCCATGATCTTAACATTGTCCCAATTAAAAGTATGATGTTCATTTATTATGTGTTCAGAAATTACTGAATGTTTCGTTGAGTCCAACCTAATATTATTTTTATGTTCTTTTATTCGCGTCTGCAATTGCCTCTTTGTTTGGCCTACATAAGATGCATTACAATTATTGCAACTGATCTTATAAACCACATTCGAATTGCATGGATGTTTAGTTTTATCTTTCTGCGCTTTAATAATATTATCCAGTTTGTTGAGACATCTATACCCTACCATACAATTTTTATTTTTTACCGAGGAAACAATCATTTCTGAGATCCCATCTATATACGGAATGACAAAGAATTTTTTATTAACCGAGTCATTTCTTATACTTTTTGTTCTTTCTATGTTGGCCTGTCTCTCTATAATGCTCCCCTTAGATATGATGTGTTCTATCCGATGATTAATTTTGTTAAAAATCAGATCAAGAGGGTAACCATTGCTTCTGAGTATATTAATAATTAACTCCAAATTTTTATTAAAAAATAGTGGATGTGATAGCAATAGACATCTGTCTACAAGGTTATATATTATTCCTATTTTGTGGCATAGTGGGTGGTTTGAATAAAATGATAACGTCCTTCCTGAGAAGGTTTCTTTTTGATACCAGTCTATATATATTTTGTTATTAATAATTTTAAGTGATAAATCTAAGAAATTCAAGCTATGGTTAACCTCTTGTTCGACCGTGAATTTAAGTCTTTCATGATAGTTGTTAAAATTATTCACAATCTGAGTCATATTAGTCATAGAGGTGGCCACTATTATGTCATCCACATAACGAAAATAAAACAAACATTCCAAATTCAACGCTTTGAGAACTGTATCCTCAAGATCTTGCATAACCAGGTCTGCAATAATTGGTGATAACGGTGACCCCATAGGGGTCCCAAACGTCTGTTTATAAATTATGTCATCAAATGTAAAATATGTAGAAGTCAATATGAATTTTATACCCCCCAAAAATTCGTTTTTCGGTATTTTAGTATTTATTCCAATGTGATCCCATCTATCGTTAATACCGTCAATCGCAAGATCCAGAGGAACGTTCGTAAACAAAGACACCACATCCAAGGAAAACATCCTATCATTCTCATCAATCTTTTTACCAGACAATATGCTGTACAAATCAAAACTATTATTAATATGACTTTTCGCTTTGGATAGACTAGTTCGTAAGGTGTTTTGTAAAAACGAAGCCAGCGAGTATAGAGCTGTATCAACCGATGAAACTATGATTCTAACTGGATAGTTTTCCTTATGGATTTTAGGTAATCCATACGCTTTTGGAAGGAGAGAATCACTACAACGTAATTTATAATATTCGTTTTTTGAAATATAATCTTCCTTAAGCCATCTCTTCAACAAATCATTCAAATCGTTCTCTATTTTTTTGCACGGATTTTTTTTAACAATAGTGTAAGTGTTGACATCTTTTAAAACGTTTTCCATTTTGTTAATATAATGAGATCTTTCCATTGCCACCGTAGCATTACCCTTGTCCGCGCGTGTGAATAGAACATTCGGATTGTCTTTACAAAATTTTAATTTAAGATTTAATAAAATTTTGTAAAGACAATCCGAATGTTCTATTCACACGCGCGGACAAGGGTAATGCTACGGTGGCAATGGAAAGATCTCATTATATTAACAAAATGGAAAACGTTTTAAAAGATGTCAACACTTACACTATTGTTAAAAAAAATCCGTGCAAAAAAATAGAGAACGATTTGAATGATTTGTTGAAGAGATGGCTTAAGGAAGATTATATTTCAAAAAACGAATATTATAAATTACGTTGTAGTGATTCTCTCCTTCCAAAAGCGTATGGATTACCTAAAATCCATAAGGAAAACTATCCAGTTAGAATCATAGTTTCATCGGTTGATACAGCTCTATACTCGCTGGCTTCGTTTTTACAAAACACCTTACGAACTAGTCTACCCAAAGCGAAAAGTCATATTAATAATAGTTTTGATTTGTACAGCATATTGTCTGGTAAAAAGATTGATGAGAATGATAGGATGTTTTCCTTGGATGTGGTGTCTTTGTTTACGAACGTTCCTCTGGATCTTGCGATTGACGGTATTAACGATAGATGGGATCACATTGGAATAAATACTAAAATACCGAAAAACGAATTTTTGGGGGGTATAAAATTCATATTGACTTCTACATATTTTACATTTGATGACATAATTTATAAACAGACGTTTGGGACCCCTATGGGGTCACCGTTATCACCAATTATTGCAGACCTGGTTATGCAAGATCTTGAGGATACAGTTCTCAAAGCGTTGAATTTGGAATGTTTGTTTTATTTTCGTTATGTGGATGACATAATAGTGGCCACCTCTATGACTAATATGACTCAGATTGTGAATAATTTTAACAACTATCATGAAAGACTTAAATTCACGGTCGAACAAGAGGTTAACCATAGCTTGAATTTCTTAGATTTATCACTTAAAATTATTAATAACAAAATATATATAGACTGGTATCAAAAAGAAACCTTCTCAGGAAGGACGTTATCATTTTATTCAAACCACCCACTATGCCACAAAATAGGAATAATATATAACCTTGTAGACAGATGTCTATTGCTATCACATCCACTATTTTTTAATAAAAATTTGGAGTTAATTATTAATATACTCAGAAGCAATGGTTACCCTCTTGATCTGATTTTTAACAAAATTAATCATCGGATAGAACACATCATATCTAAGGGGAGCATTATAGAGAGACAGGCCAACATAGAAAGAACAAAAAGTATAAGAAATGACTCGGTTAATAAAAAATTCTTTGTCATTCCGTATATAGATGGGATCTCAGAAATGATTGTTTCCTCGGTAAAAAATAAAAATTGTATGGTAGGGTATAGATGTCTCAACAAACTGGATAATATTATTAAAGCGCAGAAAGATAAAACTAAACATCCATGCAATTCGAATGTGGTTTATAAGATCAGTTGCAATAATTGTAATGCATCTTATGTAGGCCAAACAAAGAGGCAATTGCAGACGCGAATAAAAGAACATAAAAATAATATTAGGTTGGACTCAACGAAACATTCAGTAATTTCTGAACACATAATAAATGAACATCATACTTTTAATTGGGACAATGTTAAGATCATGGACAACGAAAATAATTATTATAAAAGACTCATTTCTGAGATGCTACATATCAAGGAACAAAAAAATGGACTAAATTTAAACAAAGATACTGAGTTACTTAGCGAGTCGTATTTTGATATTTTGGATATATTAGCGAACAAGAAATAATAATAGGACAAATAGGACATTAACGAGTAAAACATAGATATTAGATCATATATAAACACGCACGCTCTCCGATCAAGTAGAGTTTAAAATGAGCTGTCTTTCTGTATTGTTGGTTTGTTATGTGTCATCCTTAATAACTGTTAATAAGTAGCAAAATTATCAAGAAGAACGATGATAGGTAAGCATACTACCAATTGTAGGGGATACATATTATAATTTGGACATGCGTTGATCGGTAATTTTTTATAAATCGCAGCGCCTACGGAACGGGTTAATTTCTCGCATATTAACGATGAAACTATCCGAGATCTGAACAAAATCAGGGATCATATCGAGGCGAACATTGTTGGACAGGACGGATTGAAACACGCGTTAATTACTCAAAAACTCTTGATTCTGAATAACTATAATTAAATTTCGATATTATGTGAATTGTAAGAATTTATATTTCAATAATTATACTGAAGAAGACCGCGTGCGGTCGAAACGTTTATAGAATGATTGTAATTTGCGTTAGTTTTAATATAATGACTGTAGTTTTATAATTTATACATGTAATAAATGGTAGTTGACTGAACATCTCGAATATTCAGCTCGATAAGTTGGCCTTATATTTATCACTTTGTTTAAAATAGTTAATTAAGTAACTAAATTAAGAAAAAACTTTTTATTCTCTTTAAATATAAATTTGGAATTACAGATTAAATTATAAATTAATGAATTTCCAATTTAAAATAGTTAATTAAGTAACTAAATTAAGAAAAAACTTTTTATTCTCTTTAAATATAAATGATACATTTCTTATTTGAGAAAAGTAAAGTGATTCCAGATATTTTTGTCTCCGCATAAAAATATATGGACGACGCTGTACAGACACGATTTTGCACTGAGACTTTTAAGTTTTTGCACACCTCCATTGGGATTTTCGTCTAGATAATGTATTTTTCTTGTACCTTAATCAGTTTGCTTGTTTGTATCATATTTTGCCGGCTTGTATATTTTTCGGTGACGGTGATTTTTTTTCTTTTTTTATCCAAACTAGTTGGAGAACCTGTACCCCTTCCCACGCCTCGAAAGGTTAACACGTGTAAGATTAGCGCTTCAGAATCTCCAAAGGCACCTAAGCGTAAAGTGGTCCCGCCCTTGGTACCGCCAAGAATCTTGAACACGAAACGCGATCGTACAAACAGTCTGAATGAAGATGATATTGCGCACGTTAAGCTAGAAAGGACGCATTCGAAGTCGAAAATTGATTCTGCACCTTCAACCGAAGACCAGAAAGCGATCCAAGAAGAAGAGACATCAAAAATCGATGAAGATGACATGTCTTTAAAATTAAATCAAAATCCAAGTCACCAAATGAGCAGCAACTTGGAATTACAGAATCCTAACTGTACGGAATCGATCCTCATTGATCCAGAATCCAAAGCTAAACCTTTGAACGGAGATGGATTTAGCAAAGAGGAAAGATTAGATGTCGATAATTCAGAGATTCATGAATCATTAAATTTGAATAATGAAGAAAATGGGCTATCTTCTGATTCCATAGAGTTGGAAAGAAATGTTTTAGAGAAGAAATCATCTTTACTTATTTCTACGGAAAAGGAGAATAATACTTTACACCAAGATGACAATATAAAGTCTGAAAATATAGCTTCACGTGATGAAAGTGAGAATCAACGTGGTAAATTGAATGTATCGAACGATGATTCTCTGATGAACAAAAGTACGAACAACGAACAACTGAAGCTATTGGATGATCAATCTTGCGAAGGACCACTTAGAGTGCCGAGGAAAAGACTTTCTTCCTCAATTAAAATCGAAGAAGGTATCGAGACAGCAAAATATCTTCATCCCAAAGACGCAACGTGCGACGCAGAAGTGAAGAGTAATTTTGAAAAAGAAGAAGATACATGTACGATCATCTCCACTATACCAAAGTGCGATCATTTTGATGTCATTAGGAAAGATGATGCTTTAAAATATAACATTGTGGAAAATGTGCATGAATTATGCCAGAAACAAATTGATCAAAGCGAGGAATCAAACAACGGTGTGAAGACTACTAAAAGGACAAAGGTGATTCGGAGCCAGTCCAAGTCGGAGGACTTCGAGGTGGATACCTTGAAGAGGCAGAAGCGACATCTTACCTCGCCTCAAGAGGACATCGCGCACGCTTTGAACCTAAAGTTCTCCTCTCGAAACTCGGTATCTTCCCAAAAAGAGCAGGAGGAAATTAACGCAGAATATCGCGATGATCGTGCAAGAGATGGGGATGTAAATAAGAGAGAATCGTACGATGGATTAATCACAGGTGCATGTCGTTATATTACTAACATTCTATTTTAAGCATCTCATCTTGTTATCCTTCACATATTTTCACTTTTTCTCAGTTTCGTGTTCCGTGTATCATTTTAAAATTGTATGTATATATAATGTATGTGTATATATAAGGTGTTGAAAAATTATAGAATAAGAAATACTAAATAAATGTTGACAAATTCAAAATTTGAATTGAAGGAGGAATTAAAGATTTTTCGGCTTTAGTAAAAATAAAATAACTTGCTTGTCTCTGTGGCTATATTAAAATTATTTAATATATTATATTATAATATATTTAATATTATATTATTTAATATATTATTAATTTATATATACATATATGTGTGTGTGTATATGTTATATTATTTAATATATTATATAATAATTATATATACATAATTAAATTATTTAATATATATAAATTATATTAAATATATTTAATATAAATTAATATATCCGAAAATTTTTCTTAATTTTTTAAATTGAAATAAATAGCTTATATTGACTAATTAAATATTAGAATCCTCCTGATTATTCGTGTTATCTGGTTATCCTATCCTATCAATATGTGTGAACGTGTGGTATCCGGATGTATAAACTTAACGGGATTCTCCCGTTTGCTGTTACCTTTATACTTGTTTTTCCTATTGTAATAATTTGTCGCATCGATGTTACTTTCTTCAATCTTTGTTTTATTCCATTCAATGTGTTTTTGGCCCTCTTTCACCACTTTCTTCCAGAACTGCGCTTCTTTTATGCACGCATGCAAATTATAAATATTTATCTTGTAATCATCTTATAGGATAATAATGTATGTATAGGATAATAATCTATGTAAGATACATGAGGCAGAAGAAGTTACACACATATAAATTGCATATAAATTTTCTTTCATTTATTTTAAATCCTATTATTTATTAATCTTGTAAATTTATTTCTGAGAGATTTTTAAAATAAGACTATTATTTTAAATGTTCTAAAAATTAGAGGAAACGGACAATTGAGAGCCAGGAAATTTTTTTCTTTTTAATGTGATTTATTAATTATGATATTAGTACGATATTTGAACTATTATTATATTAGCAGTTAATAAAAAAATATATATATGATCTTGTAAAGCATGGAAACATAAAAAAAATTGCATAAAAAATAAATACACAAGATTAAATAAAAAAAGAGTGCATACGATGATCTTTATAGGAATATTTACGACGGATAAGCGCACTAAAGACTTCCGGTTCTATAGTTTAGGAAAAAAATGGCATTGATTGTCTAGAAGCATCATATAATGTTCAAATAATTGACAGATTATTGTGTAAGCTGGATAATAGAATGAAACCGAAGTATTTTTACGAGCTCTTATCTTCTGATATGCATACATTATGTACTATACAATTTTCTTTAATTAATAAATTTATATCAACTAACACAATGTTTGGAGATATTTTTAAGAAGTGAATTATTGAAATTGTCTGCATATTGATATTTTTTAATTCTACGATTTATGTAAATTACATATTCATCTTGGTTCAATTAATCATACTTAGTATTTTTTGCTTTATAAATATTGCATAAGATTGTTATAATCATCATCTTCATAAAAGATCATGCTACTCTATTTCGATTAAGATATCTTAATTTGAAATTTTTCTTTTCTATTTGTGAATTATTGCCATTTTTTATTTTTTATGTTTTATTATTTTTTATTCTTTATTATAAATATAACAACTTCTTTTTTCTGACTCTTTAGTATTGTTTCACAATTAATTTTCAAATTTTAAATAATTTTCATGAGAACGTAACTACGACTTTTGAGAAGACCAGTACAATATTTGGCTAACTTTTTATTCTGTCTTTATATTTACAACAGCTAACCAAGACGTCTTATCCACACCAACCGATATCCTGCTGCAGAAGGTATCGGACACCTTATCAAATGTGCTACCAGCCCCATCGTCTCTAGAATCAGAAACGTTGCCCCTGAAGACGAGTCACCCAACCGCATCCATCCAAGCAAGCATCAACTTCAAACATTCCACAACTAAACCAGAACCCTTCGAGGACGAGGACGAGTCAAACGAGGTCTACAAGTCGTGTCTCGATCTTTCAGAAGCCACTTTGAGCGCCAGCACGCCAAACATTACCGCTAATTCGCAAGAGAACACTTCAGATTACGTGTCGGCGATGAACGAGGACTTGGAGTCAATCAGCGACTGGAAGTATCAGCTTCCGACTCCGCCAAGTGCCTTTCGCGATTCGTCTTCGCCTACCCTGGACGACGATTACGACACGATTACTCTGGGATCGGTGAGCGCCTTCAAGGAACCCGAAATAGTGAACCCAATTGCGGAGTCGGCGGAACCGGATGTTACAGATAGTGGCGATGCTAAGAATTTATTGAACGGTTCTGGGCCGAACTTCGATCAGGAAACCCAAACATCGTCCATTGTTTCTCACAAAACTCCCAATCCAACTAATCCGGATCTGCGGAAGGAAATTATCACGGAACTGGAGAGCAAAATAGAGACCGGTGCTTTGGCGCAAACTGTCAACAAGGATTTCGATCGAAGGGTGGACAGTTTATCCGCACCGAAGGACAACACTTTGTCCAACTTTATGATCACCACTTATACCAAACAGAATAGCCTGGACATTTACGAAGAGTTGGAAGAGTCCAACTCGGACAACAGGTTTGTCAAAGTGTTTGCCACCCTGCCGAGGAACAGCGCGGAGAATTATGGGAAGAAGGATGCGACGAAGAAGAAGAAGGCGAAGTCCGAGGAGTGTCCAAATGTTGAATGTAAAACGGAACCAAAGAGTGAGTTACCCCACAGATTGGAGTCTCTCAATAATAATGAAGCTAATGAAAAGGTTAACATCCAGCGATCCAAGAGTTATATATCGATATCCAGCAACGCCAAGTATCAAACGGAAAAGACGCAGCAGAAGATCGACAAGGAAGTTGAAGAACCGAAGATTACAGCTGTGAAAAAATCTACGAGCATCGCGGACCTGAATGTCGACGTGTTACAAGGCACCGAGAAGTTCTCGCAATGGAGAGATAATATATTGAAGCAACAGAAGGAGCCCAGCAAGGAGAAGCAATTACAATCATTGCAGGTAATTATGAGTTAAAGCGTTAGGAAGTTGTATATTTTATTTTATTATTTTAAGAATTTCAAATAGATTCTAAAAAAAAATACAGCATATTGCAGAAATTATTAATTATTTTTATTATTTTATTATCTTCTATTGTATTATAAATATTAATATTAATTTATAAATATTTATATATATAATATTAATTAATAATAATTGTTGCTAGTGATTTAATCTATTAAAAAAATGTTTCTACTATATAATATTTAGCTTATATATGTGTAATAATTAAATTTAATAATTAATAGTTAAAAACTTTCTATATATATTAAATATACATTCGAAAATTAATGCCAATATGATTTTGATGCTGAAATTAATGATATAATATTTGAACTTTGTCAACGTATTATTTAAAAAAATATTTAAACTTTTAGGTGCTGAAAAGTATTTTACCGCAGTTGAAAAATGCTCAACAAGCGGAGGAAAATATATCCAAAGAACGCAGTAGCGCAATATTAAATGAAAAGAAGTGAGTATTATTTTTTATAAAAAAGAAAAACCAAATATCATAAAAAACTATTTCAAGTGGAAGTTTTATGATTTTTAATTATTAGATTAGTAATTTTGCAAATGTCAAGTTTTTTTTAAACATACAAGTTACAATTCTGAATTTTCTCATTGGATCAATAAAAATTTATACATTTATTCCAGTTTTATATATTTATAAAATACAAAAAAATCTATGAAAATTTATTATTTCTGCTAAAGAAAATTTTTTTTATAAATCAAAAAATTATACACACAACAAAAAATATCTTGAAGAAATCGAAACATTATTTATGATTTTAATGCTAATTATTGTCCTATATTATTAATCATCTTATGATTATATTTTTTAGTATTGATTATAAATAAGAAATAACTATAAACACTGTGTTGCAAATATTTTATAATAAAATTATTTTCCAACAGATACGAACCTGAATTCACCGAATCACAAGATTCAGAACCGGAATATAAACCATCGTCGAAGGAGAAAAATATGAAACGCTACGTTTATACTGGTCCACCTGCGATCAGTCTGGGCAGTTGGTCGGAGAGACCCAGCATCAATGTTCAAATCAAAACGGACACCGATTACAAACTAGGAAGAAGTAATACAAACGACAGCAAATCCATCGTCAGTATTACCGACGCGAGAAACGAGAAGGATACCGCGAACTATGCCAGCGACGTCAATAAGAATAACATCGCCAATCACAAAGACAAAATCCATGCTTCGACGAATAAGAATAATCCGGCCGAGCGAGAACTCACGAGGAAGCTAATCGCGCACACAACAGCTTCCGGTTTCAAGGCGCCGACGTCGAATCGAGTTAACGTGTTCGATTCGTCGAAGAGCAAAGATCGACCCTTCGTGATGGGAGTCGAGCTGAAGAAGACCTTTGTCGAGACGCCGAAGTACGGCGAGGACGAAAACGACGCCTCGAGAAACGTCAAGGAACTGTCAAATACATTCGGCCAGCACATGAATTTCAAGCAGAAACCCAAACGCGTTAACATCAATAGACACTCGGCGAACTACGATACGCAACTCGCCGAGGTGGAGGTGAGAATAGGGAAACCGAATGTCAGTAAGCAAAATGGCCACGCCAAGTTCGCGAAGGCATCCAGTCAAGACGAGCTTTCCTTCAAACGGCATTCTTGGACGCAGGATCTTCAGGAGAGTTCGCAAGCGAGGAGGTACACATCCATCGTGGGTATAAATGAGACGAGTCAAGGCTTCAGGCCGCAAAGCGAGCCAACATCCCTCAGATGTAATTTCAGCAACGCTGTGAAGATCAATCCGCCGATGCCCGTCGTGAAGGGATTCAAGATACCTATTATCAACCCTAAAATGAATAATAATCAAATCAATCGTAAAGAATTGTTGACGAGTGAGGGCGTGCCACCTCCTAAGCTTCCAACCATGCCGGTGATAACGGGAGTGACGCTGAAAAATACCAACCCAAGACCCAAATCGGTTCAGTTGGATTCTAGGGATACGCTGTTGGAGTCCATCAGGAACTTCAGACGTGAAAAGTTAAAAAATGTAAGTACACTGATGTAAAATTTACATTAATACATACACACTAAAAATTCTTAGATGCCAGCCATTTCAAAATAAAATAATTAATTAATATAATTACTTTATAATTAATCAATAGCTGTAAAATGGCAAAATCTGACGTCACAATCTGATATGGTCGCGGCGAGAATCCAGGAGCCTTAAAGAGAATTAGAAGATATTAGAAGAGAAAATATTTAGCAACAAATAGTATTAACTGGATATCAAATAATCATGAAAAATAACTGTTTTCTGTTTCAGATTGCAGAGAGATATTGATATAGCTAAACATTATAGAGCAATTTACAGAGAAGAATCTGTTTGAAAACATTCCGAGATTTGTAAGAGTGTTTTTTTATTAGATATAAATTTATATTATTTGTTTTCAGATCATTAAATGTGAAAACTATTTTTTGTTTAGAAAAAATATGTGAAAATAATTTTGATTTCTATTTAATCCTAAAATACTATTAAAGGTTCGCTTTTCCAAATCTTTTAGAATGCAGAATCCTAAAAGATTTGATAATTTATTATTTTTTTCATCTCTGTATATAATTGCTTAATCTTTTTACACATGATGATATATGTTATATGTCATTAATATTTACATTAAAAATGCTGATTGTTAAATCTCTAAAATTACTAAAATAATATGCATATTTTTGCAATATTTTTTACTCAGATTGTAGAAAAACTGTTATTACTAAAAATTTTGTAATAGTTCTAATAGAATTTACAATTTTGCAATACAAAGGTAAATCAATATCAGTTCGAGAGTTTGAAAATAAGACAAAAATAGTTTGTCTGTAACTCCAGTGTTAATAATTTATTATAATAATTATTATAATTTCATTTTTTTGAGTATTTTGGGATTAATATAAAAGAAAAAAATATTTAAATGGCATTTTAGTATATATTAAGCGCTGATTTATTGCAGCTAAAAGTCATATATATATAAATAAAATATTTTCCGAAACATGTTTACACACATACTCTAATATTTAATACACATACATACACACTACATATATATATATATATATATATATATATATTTATATAAATCTTATAGAGAAAAGGAGTTTATGTTGCATCATTTAACGAGGAAAGAAAACTGAAAAATATGTCCTCACAATATTAATAATTGATATTGCAAATTGATCGAATTATACTTTATCAAGTATATTTTTTCCAGCTATACTTTCAATAGAAATAACTATAATAAATGGAACTAAAATCCGATTGCGGTTCCACGTTAAGCACATGTAAATACGATATAATAGAAAGCTATAACAACCAAAACTTTGTTGCGAGACGATAGAAGATGTATATAGTATTAAAAGAATGTTCGCGATGTTTACTTGATCGTAAAAGAGGACGGAAAACACTTGTTTTATTTACTTGAATAGTCATCAACACGATTGCTCATTAATTAACATAAAGAGAGAAGGCGAAAGTTAGATTAATTACCTTTAATTCAAAGTAGAACTGTTTGATTTTTAGCTTTATTGAAATGTATACTTATGAAAAATAGAATAATACCAAAATTAATCGCGAATCAGATATCGATATAAGTACTAATAGCGATTTAATTTGCGAAATATTAATATGTCTAATTTTCGCGATTAATTGTAAGTTATTTCTATCAACGGGACCAAAGGTGATATCTTATTTTATCTATCGTATAACACTAATTTAGAATTGTGTAGAGAATGCGTTACTATATGTGCTAAATTCGAAATAGTCTTTTAAATCTGGTCAATTGAGTTATATCGAAAAAATTTATATAATTATTTAGAGAAGGATGTGTTATATTTAAACATTAAGCAATTTATTTTCCTCCATAAATACAATATTTTATCGATATAACAAACGATTGTATCTTGGCATAAAGTGTAAAGAATATTTAAATATAAATTAGTTTTTGTTTGCATTATATGCCTGTGAAATTTTTTGTTTTCTTTACAGCATGATTGTCCAGTAAGCAACATGTATTTCTTTCTGATAAAAATGTATAGCAGATACTTTGGAAAATCTGTTTGAATAGATTTTATGTTTCAAAATAAGAGAGAAATGTTTTATTTATCAATTAATTAAATAAAAAAAGAATTAATTAATTAAATAAAACATTTATTATTAATTTAATATTTTATTATTACAATTTATTTACAATAAAAGTAATCGAAATTACGTAAAAATAATAAGATTAACAAGAAAATTCGTTTCGTTATTGTAAAAACGAAAGCAGAAAAAATTTATTATATTATAAAGATTCACAAAAATAATTATTTTTTTCCATAAGCATGTTAATAATTATTTTTAAAAATAATTTCCTTCTTACATTAATAAATCTGCTTAATTATAAGTGTTAAATTTGTGTAGCAAACTCTACGTTCTATTTGCACTCAATTTTTGCTAGAAAACTTTTTAAAATCGAGAATTTTAACAATTCAAATATTTTAATTTATTTAAAAAATTAAAATAAATTACTCAATTGAACATATCAAATTCTCACTTCCCTTAAAATTTTTTTAAATATCTCAATTCTCTTAAAAATAATATAAAACCTATCGATTTATCACCTTTTTTAATAACGATTTAACGAGATTAAAATTTATTTTTATTTAATGTATTAACAAATACATATAAAAACAAATTGTTTGAATATATTAAATTAGTTTACGTGAAATATATTTAACATTTCAGGAATAAAAAAGAATAAAAAAGAAAAAATCGCGCATATGCCAGTGACAACATCAAAAGTGAATTTATTTTACAGAGTATGAGTTTAAATCAAAGATAATAAGATTGTGATAAAATAGAAAAATAGAGAGAGAAAATATTATTACCGACATAATGGCGATGTGGCGATATAACAATGATAAAAATAATAATCATTCTGCAAGATCTATTATAAACTTTTATTAGGATCGATCAATTGCGTGCGTTCTCACGTTATCTGATCGTTACAAATGTACATTACGACATATAATAGACATATTATGCTTATATATACATTAATAATCTAAACGAACATTTATATTAATATTCTAAAAGCGAAGGAAAAAAATTTTATCGTCTCTCCCTTTTTATTTGCTTGGATTTATGATCTGTAAAAGAGAGATCCCCCGTAAGATAAAAATAAATCATCGTTATTATTGCTTCGTCGATCCCGAGGTTTAATTTAGCTCTTTCCTTTTTTTCTATTTTTTACAGCACAGAAAAATACACGCAGTTCTCGCGAAACCATGTTGGAAAATTGTCGGTGGTTGCTGAAAACGTCGCGACTTTCCGGATGTCATCCGCACACGATCGACGAACGATCCCGCATAAATTTTTGCCTGTTGTTGATCCATTCGTTAATTATGTGCGGTTTATACAGCGTCGCGGCGTATTACGTTTTGGGCTTCGGCAAAAATTGTGGCGACAGCAACGCGACGATAGGCTGCGCCCTCCAGCGGATAAATCGGTACAATCGGTGCCTCTACGTGATCGTGACGATATTACTGTCGTGTTTGCGACATAAGGAGTTCGAACGTGCCGTGATTGTCGCTCGGAAATTCGACAGTTTAGTAATTAATAATTATCCTGCCGATGAGGGACAAATGATGAATTACAGACAATGGTTCGTTATGTTAGCGATCTCCCTCGCTTGGATCTCGGCCAATATGCTAATTACGTGCGTGATACCTCTGTACCAATTGAATTTGTACACGCTCGTGGCGCAAATCGTAATGCGAATTACGTTCTCGATGGAGATCGCGAAATTTTGCTTCATATACGACGCGTTGTATCGCAGATTTCGTCGCCTCAATGGATCGTGTTGCAAATTGTCCGGTATATAATTTAATTGACAAATTTAATTAAGGCTGAATTAATTTTAAAATAAAAAATAAAAATAAATTCAAAATTAAAAATTGATGACAATGATAATTCGAACTACATATAGTTTTCTAATTATTTGTGAAATTAATTGTGCAATTAATTGTAAATAAATAAATTTTTATTAATAAACATAAATATGTATTTATTTATTTTTAAATAAATAGAAAACTTAAAATGACTGATTAAGCAAAATAAAATGCTTTTTTTTTTAATAAATAACGTTTGTTTCAATATTTTCAATACAATCAATTTTTTCGACAATTAGTATAAACAATTTTCAAAAAATTGAAAAAGTAAAGGTGGTAAAATGTTTTACTGAATCACAAAGAGCTAATCAAAGTATTATTTTCGTAATATAATAATATAATAATAATATCTAATTATAATAATATATAATTTTAATGTAGTCTGTTAAATTTTTATATAGGAGTGACCACCGACATTGGTACCAGCGTATCTATAAATGCTAATCGTTTTACGATCTCGAATCTTCAGCGATTGCACAGCTGTTTGACCGATGCAACAAATCATTTTACCTCTTATTATGGTCCGCAGTTGCTCTGTTGGCTCGCATTCATGTTACTGGATATTATAACGTATATCTTCGACATTTTATATGAAACGAAGAATACAGTGCTGATTTGCATCTCATGTATTATATTAATCTATTTGTCACTTCAAGTTATCTTTATAAGTCGCATCTGTAATTTAACATGCGATGAGGTATGAGTATTTTATGTTTTCTTTAACGAGCTATATGCATATATAGAGAAATGACTTTTCTAAAATTACATAAAATTATTTTTTTCTTTTTCTTTACTTTTCATTAATTTTGCTTTTAATTATAAATTTATTTTAGGCAAACGCGTTGGCCGGGATAATATTTTTAACAAAAAATCGCGCATTCAAACACATCAACTCGGCTGTAAGTAATCGAATAAATATTATACAAGATAAGCTATTTTATATAATGCATCTCTTTTCTCTTCTATTTAAAATTAAATTTTAATTGACTTTATCTTTGAAAAACATAGGATGAAAGATCATATTACTGCTATATTAAGTAGAGATATTCATTTATATTTGATCCAATATATTATATGATAGCAATGATATTAAAGTAGTTTTAATTTATATTGTAGTTTTATTGCTATATAAAATTTAAGAAAATAGAATAGAATTATATATATATGTTTCACATAAATTTTTAATAATTTTTATTTATTTAATAATTTTGAGAGAATGTACTTTTAATTTTAATCTTTTAACTAAATAAATATTATAAATAAATGTTATAAATAAATGTTATAAATATATGTTCTTACTACATATGTTTCCTGTTTGTATAGGAAGTGATCGAATTGGGAGTACGTCTTCAAGTCTATCCTTTACGAATTAGAATCTGTGGTTTGTTTAATTTAGATAACCGTCTTGCATTTTCGGTAAATCATATTTTTCTATAATTTATTGATTACTAAATTTATATACATATTAGGGCTATTAATAAATATCAGTGTTTTTTGTCGATTTTTGCGAAAAACTAAAAATCAAATCTTGACTATTTAAAGACTCAATCAAATGTAATTAAAAAATGATTTTTAATTGTCCAAAAATTTTAATATTTTACGAAGATAAAAAAATTAAATTTGGAAACTGATTAAAAAATAATTGAATAACAATAATTGCTTTATTTTCTTTTATATATCAATAAAAAAAATAAAAATTAAAAAAATAAAAAATATATAAAAATTAAAAAATTAAAAAACTTAGCACTGCGTAATTAAACAAACAATATGTTAAAATTAATGTATTTTTTTGCTTGAATGTCCTTTAATTAAAGTTTAGCAGTGCTAAGTTTTTTAATTTTTTAATTTAAAAAAAATTTTAGTTTTTTAATCTTTTTTAATTTTTAATTTCTATATATTTTTTAAAATTTAAAAATTTTTATTTTTTTTATCTTTAATTTTTTTAATTATTGCAAACTTTTAATATTATTTTTTGTAGAATGTAGGAAATTAAAAAATTATTTTATATAACCTTTTTGATTAATTAAATAAAATAAAAATATTTCAAAGTTTTTATTGTTACTTAGAATAATTTTTTTATATTATTAATTTTTGTAGGATAGGTTTTTACAGGGACATTACGCGGACTTAGCATCTTTTTTTTATCTTTTTTAAAAAGGTATTATTAAATTATTTACATCAAATTATTTCTATTTGCTTATGATTCTGCCTACACACAACTAATTTTTATTTTTAATAATATAATAATATAAAAATGTTATGACACCATAAAAGTAAAAATAGTTTGCATTATTTTTGGGTAGAAATAATAAATTAAATTTATAAATTTTTTGGTTTTAAACTTTTTGACGGTTGTATAATATATATTTATTTATTTATTATATAGGCATTTGGCGTTATACTGATGTATGTGATATTAGCTTCATCTATTCATTAAACTTGGAAGACAACTTTAAATGGACCAATGAGAGAAATAAATAATCCCAAAAACATATGTGAATTAGTGCATAAATTTTAAACATTTAAATTTTAATAGAATTATATTAATTACAGGATGTGACTAAAGTTCCCGGAAAGACAAATATTTTGAAAATAAAGTATTTATAAGAAAAATACACAAATAATTTTTAGAATTTTTAAAACGGAAATCATATTTTATTGCATATTTATAACTAAAGTCGAAAAATGTATTCAAAATAATTTAATTATAGTTTAATGGATCACTTTTTATTGTTATAAGTATTGAATTTGTATATTAAAAGTTATATATCTCTTTGTTGAATTTAATCAAATCAATCAATTTCTCCACAAGTTTCATTTATAATAAATATTTTTGGTAAAGAACTTTTCTTGATATTATTAGATAGAATTTTATTAAAAAAAAATTAAATATTTAATTTGACTAAACATATAATTAACTATATTTGATAATACACGCGTTTAAATTTTATATATTAATTTTAATTGCAAAGAATTCTCCCTTCAAAAATGAGATGCATATAATAAATTTATGCATCTCATCAATATTATATATCTATAATAATTACCTAACATTATTAAAGTTCATATTTTTATTCTATTATATGTATTAATAAATATGCATACAAACTATTTATTATTTAATACAATTCTATATGAATATGTTTAATATTTTAAGGTAAGATAAAACAAAAAAGTTGACAATTATATATTAATTATTTTCTTGCTTGGATTTTCCTCGGCTTTTTAATATGACTTACCATATATTACTTGTAGTAAAGATGTATAAAGTTGTGTCACAAATCACAAATTACATTCTCGATGGAAATTGTAAAATTTTACTTCATATTCGAAACGCTGTATTATAAAATTAAGGTAACATCTAACTAGAATGAAACTTTCAAGAAAGATATAATAAAGGAGCACTTTTTCTAAAAAATGGATTTTTATTAAAATTTGTGCTTGAATATATTTTTTTGAATCGCTAATTATAATAATTAGAAGTAGTTTATATTGTAGATAGATCGTTTAAATTACGTGAGTACATGTATCAAAATAAATTACATTATAAAAAAAGACTGTATAAAATGTTTTATGTAAATATTAAAGCAGTGTCTGCAATCGAAACACATATATTTATTTTTTATCTCTATAATTATTTCAAAAATTATAATTGATTTCTGATTAGAAATTTATTTGATCTAGAAATTTAATTCGCAAATATCATTTGTTTAAAGATAACTGATTTTTGTGAAAAAAGCATGTTTTTTAAAAAGTATTACATAAAAATATTTGCAATTAAAAATACCTACATTTATGTTTATTTGAGATGCTTTGTTTAAAGCTTTTACACAAAAGAAACTCATAGTTTTAAAAGAGTGATGAGTTACACACATTCAATCATATATTTTAAAATTTAATTGTAAATGTTATACTACGAACGGATATATTGAAGAGTGATATAATTCACAATATCTTTAAAGTTTACAGATAATTTGAGACACATTGCGAAAGAAAATTTGTAAACTTGACTGCGCCTTTTAGCTATATATTTTGTTAATTGAACATATAAAATAATATTTAAATTAAATTTAACATATCCAATCTGACAAAATATATTTGAGTTAAATACTAATATATGTTCAATTAAAATAATAGTAAGTTTATTTAAAAAGTTTAGTTAAGTTAACAAATTTTCATCCAGTGCAGTTCTGCATAGTTACGTAATATATGCGTTTACAGATAATTTGATACAATTATAAAATTATTTTACTTTATATATATATATTATATATTTATACATATAAATGAATATATTATTATACTCTTTATACAAGATATAAAAGATATAATATATGTGTATATATAAAAATAATGGATCTGTAGAATATATAATTATAGATTATATACATATTAAATGTTTCACATAAAATACATTAAAAAATTATGAACATCTAGATAAAAGCATTTAATAATGTATATATGATGCTTAATTAAAAAATATAAGATTCGCAGTTAATTTAACATAATAAGATATAATTAAAATAAAGTAAAATAATTTCCGCCATATATTATAAAGATAAAATCAAAAATATGAATTCTTTATTTTATTATATTCTTACGAAACCTGTGTTCTTTCATTTAACGACTTGTTACTCTTTACGTGCAAAATTAAATCAATAAAAATTCAGAATAATTAATATTAGAAAGTTTCTCTCTTTAATTGTGTGCGTTGTTTAATATTGGACAAATTCTAGTTGTTACTATTAAACTTCATCTTATTTTACATATACATATATTATATTTAGATTTATATATACATATATTCGAGAGAACTCGAGAATACATATCTAAATGTTTTTCAAATCCAAAAGAGACCCTAATACTTATATATATAAAAATATGTATTTTCAAATTGGCGATGATATTTGCATTGTAAATCGAATGTTGATGACATATTTAAGTATAAGAATAAAAATGCTTGCAGTAATCATTGTTGTGTTTATAAAATTTAAAAATTAGCTAGATAAAGATAAGATAAAAATATGTAAGTTTATCTTAGATAAGATAAAGAGATTTTTGTGATAAAAATTATTAAAATAAAAGATAAAATTACATGGCATCTAGATAACTTACAGCTATTATTTTTAAGATCGCTTATGTAAACACAGTTATAGAACAATAAATAACTGTAAATTATAAAAGGAATACAAAAATATATTCATACTTATGTTTATTAAAAAATTATTCACAGTTATAATTTTTATCGTTTTTGATTAAGTTCTACTAATTCAATATTTTTATGTGCTATAATTCTAAATCAACTCGGGAAAAATTTTTTAATATGTAACAATATAAAATTATATAGAAATATATAAAATTATATACATATAAACGCAAAATTATATATGAAATATGTTCATAGATAATTAAATAGTGCTTTTTATATATAATTATATAAATTTATATATATATATATATATATAATAAATAATAAATATTTCTTTATATATATAAATATGTATGTTTCATGTATAATTTGATATAATTACATATGAACCCTTACAATTTATATATAAATTTATATAATTATGTATAAAAATGAACATATTTTACATATAATTTTATGATTATATGTATAATTATATACTCTGCAATTATTAATATTTTATAATTATGTATAAAAAATTTTTACCGAGAAATTATCCAAACATCATCATTTTAAATTTAAATATAATTTAGTGAAGATAACACTCTTTTTCATCTAAGATGCAC